CCTTGGGGAGAGATGAGGAGATCCATTGGGCCGGCGGAGCTCCAGCACACGTCCCCTGGTGAGATGCACTGCACACCCTGGTGGCGTTGGGAGATGTGCCTGTGCTGTTGGCCTGCCAGATGCCCTGGGGTTGTTGTGTTTGCGTTGCTGCTCTTTTGGTGTGTTGTTGGGGGAGAGCCGTGGCCAAAATAAATCCATCTTGGCTCTGCAGGGTGCTATAGGGTTTGAGCGAGGATGTTTCTGCCCTGAGACTGGAGGAAGCTTCAGTGGCCAACAGGGGAGGACAGGACTGCTGGGTGAGTCCGTGCTGGACTGTATGTGGTGTGTAGCTGTGATCCAAGGAGGTCCTTGGGAAGGTTTTGATCTGCTTTCATCCTCTAAATGAGTGGAGGCAGGTTGGATATCAGGAAGAATTTCTTCTCAGAAAGAGCGGTGATGCAGTGGCACAGGCTGCCCAGAGAGGCGGTGGGGTCACCAGCCCTGGAGGTGTTCAAGGACCACTGATCCCACTGAGGGATGTGGTCAGAGGTATGATGGGGGTCAGTGGTTGGACTTGGTGATCTGAGTGGTCTTTTCCAACCTGAATAATTCCATGATTCTCCTGAGGAGTCTATGAGAGGCTCATTTGTAAGAAAAGCTTATTTCTAGATGCTGTTGTATGGCTGCCCTAGAAAATGGAAGGAGATGGATGAAAAAAGCTGACATCCTCACTCCTCAGGGCAGCGAGACTAGGAGAGCAGCAGAGGAAAGCAGGCAGCTTTCTGCAAGAGATGTCTAGCAGCAAAAACACGTGAGGTTTTTACATGCTGGTCAGGATGTGTGTGGGTGTGGAATTGATTTAATTTGATACTCCAGGAGCACAGCTTGCCCGGAGATCCCAAGGTGGGAGGATGAGAAGAAAGCTCTGCTCCCAGCAGCTGCCCTGCTGCAAGGTTTGGACTGGCAGCGTTCTTTTTAACTCAGACCTGCAGTCCTGGAGCCTCCAGGCAGGTCACAGCGCTTTTTGGCCAGTCCAGAAGATTTTAGCAGCAGTTTGAGTGATTTGTATCAAGCATCACAGAGTGTTTATGTTGGTGGGGTGTAGTTTATCTACGGCTTGAAATATTTGCTGACAGCTCTTACAGCTGGAGTTTAGTAACAGCAGAGCACTGCTGATAGACCTGCAGTCGTTTGGGAAAGAGCTGATTTAGGGAGAGGAGTGAGAGCCCCATTGGCCAAGGTGAAGAGGGGACTTCGCCCACTGGTCCCAGTGAAGCTGTGACACCAATGCCAGCCATGTCCTGTGCCCAAAGAGGCCAGACTGCAGTGCCCAAGGCATTGCCTGCCTGCAGCCCCTGACCTGGCAGGACAGCGTGGTCAGCAAAAAAGCACTGGTTTGGGGAACCTCCAAAAACGATTGCTCAGAAGGGCTGTCGTATAAAGCAAGCCAGCTCATCTGTACACTCATACAGGGGAGCACCTTCTGCTGGTGTAAATACAAATCACTTCCATCCCTCTGACCTTCTCACTTTGTGAGGTTGCAGGGATCTCAGTGGCAGAACTCAGGTTTTACTGAAATGAGAGAATTTAGGGAGATCCCATCAACATCTGTGGGGTCTGGAGGAACCAAAGCTCGCAAACATCCCACAGAAAGCATCTTACTGCCCTTCTGCAGTCTTCTGCTGAAGGCAGGATGACCCCTCTCCTGTTGGACCTAGCTGAGCTCCAAAGGGTGACTCAGCACCTAAATGCAGGCAGTGAAATCCCACCCAAGCATCATAAAGGACACTTTAGGATCCCACCTCAAATGTCCTGAAGGATCTCATCTTGGAGGACACAACGGAGTGTGGTCAGGGACTGGGGCAGGTGTTCTGCTGGAAGAATTTTCCCCCTCCTGCTTTCACATCAGTCCCTTTTGGGGAGAAGCCACTGTGCTGCACGTGGTTCTGCCTCTGCACCACTTGCCCCATGCCCCTTTTCCTAGAAGCATCTGCAGAGCCTCCCCACCTGGGTAAAAGGGCACTTTATCCCCAGGCAGTTGATGAGGAAAGATCCTGATGTGCTTTAGGCCGTTGCGTCCCCCTGGAAAGGGAGGGAGAGAAATCCACAGGACTGGAGGCACAGCTCTGTGCCTGTGACACTAGAGAGCTGAGTGAATGTGGTGGAGACAGGCTCACTGGAGCAGTAAAACTTTGGTATGTGTGAAACCTCTATTAACCTGTGGCCCTTGTTAATGTGTGGAGGCAGAAACGAGCCGTACAGCAGGAGGGCTCATCCTGCTGATATTCCTTGTAAAGGGAAGCTTCCAACAGAGGGGCCAACACAAATATTTGTAGCACAGACAGGGGCTGCCTGATTCAGGAATGCTCCTGTGCCTGGACAGGAGGTGACATCATCCAGATTCCTTCACTGAGGAATGCAGGGTTTGCCTCTTCCCTTGCCAGTAATTGCTTCTTAAAAACAGACCTGCCCAGGGATGTACATCTGACCCCGCTCTGCCTGTTGCACAGTCCAAGGTCCTCCTGTTCTTCTTTCGTGGAATTTGCAGGGATAGGAATGAAAAGTATTGGAATTGGTAGTTCACTAAATTATAGGCAAAAGCTCCCAAAAAGCCATAAGCAAGGACTTATCAGAAAACTGGGGAGGGACTGGAGCAGGTGGGGAGAGCAGACCTTGTCTTGGAGCTGGCTGGGATGGATGGAGCCAGTGATGGGCTGGGGATGTGTGTGACAGGACAAGGGGGAATGGTTTTAAACTGAGCCAGGGGAGCTTTAGGTTGGATATGAGGAGGAAGTTTTTTCCCCCATAGGGTGGTGAGGCACTGGCACAGGTTGCCCAAGGAGGCTGTGGATGCCCCATCCCTGCAGGCATTCAAGGCCAGGCTGGATGTGGCTCTGGGCAGCCTGGGCTGCTGGTTGGTGACCTGCACACAGCAGGGGGTTGGAGCTGGATGAGCGCTGTGCTCCTTTGTAACCCAGACCATTCTAGGGTTCTATAAGAGCTGCAGGGGGGCCATTTGCATTGCTCCTTGATGACCCTTGGTCCTAGGACCCCCATTTCTTGATTCTGTGAAGCCCAGCAATGGTATCACAACTGCAGGATTACTGTGTCATGACTGCATTGGATATGCTGACATGCAGAGTGTTCCGGCTAACCACCGTACACCCCCTGATGGACTGATAGGACAACCCCAAAGCAAAGCCTAATTCCCCCTCCACACAACCCTTGACTTCTCTGTGGGGCTGAGCATTGTGGCAACGTCCCATCCCTGAGCTCACAGCCCTCCACCTCTGCCTCTGCGTTGGCTCCAGCACACAGCGCTGGAAAGTTGTGGCGGTCACTGATGTCCACATGTCATCAACACTTCCACCAGCCCCTGCTGCAGCAGAGGGGTCAGTTCCTGTGGGATGAAGGCCATCGTCGTCATTTCAATAGCTGGAACTAGGTGTAGCTGAGCTGTGCCCCCATTATGGGTCCAAGGGAGGGATTTAGTGGTTGGAAAGGCACAAAGCAATTTGCTCCCAGTGCCTGAAAGAGGATGGCTGGCAGGAAATGAAAGCGCCCTTCTCCAAGGCTGGAGTGGTTTTACTCCTGCACTGGTTCTTTAATTTTCCGTCAGGTTTTAGAAATTCTTGGCTGTTACAACTGGACAATTAAATCCAGAGCAGAAAAGAAGGGCTCCAGCCAAAGAAATAAAACACTTGGTCAGCCAGTTTTTTGAAAGGGGGATGGAATGAAGATGCTCGAATGGAAAGCAGCAGAGCGAGGGCTGCAGTCCTGAGGATGCTGAGAAGTGCATGGAGAGGATCTGCTGGATTTTGTTTGTTGCTGGAGCTAGATTAAATCAGAAGGGGCAGAGGTAAAGGGGATTATGGTCTGGGGTGAAGTGATGACATTTTGGGAAGGGTGTAGGCAGGAGAGACCCATCCAAGAGGGAGGCAGTGGTGTAGCTGCTTTGTGTCAGGACCCACATGAGACAGAACTGCAGTGGAAGAATGGCAGAATGGTCGCCCAGGAGATGGTACAGAGGCGGCCGAGCAGCACTGATGTTGGCTCTAGAAGGCTGAGGTGAAGGCTCCCAGGCTTCAAAAGCAATAGGGACCCAAAGCCCATCCAGGAATAAAGGCTGTGGTGGGTGAAGATCTGCATTCAGTGCAAGTCTCTGGGTACATCACAGCTCAGTGAGCTGGATGCTGCTCCTCCAGCCCCCTGCAGCAGCACCCGTGGCCTGAAGTTCTCTGCCTTGTCTGTCCTTGTGCATGCTGTCCTGTTGTAAAGCAAGGCTGCCCAGGTTTGTGGTTTTGGTTTGTGTGTCTGAAGGGGCAGGGAATTCTGTAGTCACTCCTCAGGCTTCCTCAGAAACACAGATGGTGTTGTGGTTTCTTTATTATTCCTGTCTGGAGGCTAAAGGGAGGATGCCTTGCAGAGAATCATGGAGTCATTAAGGTTGGAAAAGACCGCTAAGATCATCGAATCCAGCCGTCACGAGGAAGGGAGGGGAGGGGCCAGATGTGGAAAGAGTGAATTTTCAAGAAGGTTCTCCTACAAATGTATCTTCTTTCCTCAGTTTCTGCTCATGGCCAGGTCGCTGCTTGCAGCTATTTGATCCAGAAAGTCTCCAGAGGCGTTCAGGAGTACCGAAATGCAGTTTGCCAGGTGCCCAGCTAGTGACCAGCACAGGAGAACAACCTGCAGTAAACCTGCATCTCAGTGTCTGCCTGTAGGGTAACTGATACCTTGATTTGGTGTTTCTAAGACCTGTGTATCAGATGGTGAAGGAGGATGAGGGATTTCTCGTTTGCTCCCTCTTTCCTTTGCATTTTACGTGCTGTTCAGCTCTTTAAACATCAGTGTTCACTGGAACAGGTTGCCCAAGGAGGCTGTGGATGCCCCATCCCTGCAGGCATTCAAGGCCAGGCTGGATGTGGCTGTGGGCAGCCTGGGCTGCTGGTTGGTGACCTGCACACAGCAGGGGGTTGGAACTGGATGAGCACTGTGCTCCTTTGCAACCCAGGCCATTCTGTGATTCTATGAAATGCAAGCAGAAAACTGGGAGAGGAGTTGATGAATGTCAGGGTGGGCTTCTAGCATTACTGAAGGTTAAACTGTGCCTGTAGCATCCTCTGTGTCCCATCTCAACCTGGCAGAGGGGAAAGCTTGCATCACACATCGCTGCTTGGGAGCCAGACAAGTGCCTGGTGCCTGGTACAGGGATGTGTGACCCCTGTGCAGCCCCAGTGATGCTGGCTGCTCGTTGCTGCTCAGTGCTCCACCAAAACTCGCACCCATGCACCTGATGATCTCTTGGAAACATTTCTACCTTTGGGAGTATTCTGTTCTGTCAGCAAAGAGATAAAAAAAGCTTCATCTTGCTTTCCATTTGCTCAGCTTGTGGGTCAGCCCCAAGCATTGCTGGCTCAGCCCTGCAGCCTCTGTGCAGAGGCTTCCCTGTGTCAAAGGTGAGGAAGGGCTGTTCTCCTCCTCCCAAATCTCCCCCTCTTCCCCTTCCGCCTCGACATGCTCATTCATGAAAAAACATCTGCTGGATGGATGAGGAGACAGAAATTAACACTGGCACGTTTTTCCCACTCGTTGGCCAAGGGAGGTTGTAGGCTCAGAGGGTTTTAATCTTTGTTTTCACAGCTGGATTCAATATTGCGCTTTCTCCTCTCCAGTGTTTCATTGCTGCTCATTCCCCCGAGCAACCTGCTGCAAAGCAAAGTGTGCACTCACATTGTGGGACAGCTCACAGCCAGCTTCCCTGGGGCTGCCTGCACCTCAGGACCCATGACCCTCACAGCCCCCTCTGCTCATTAGGGATTGTGCTGAGATTTATGCTCTCCCACTGAGGCTCCAGAAGGGCGATGCTGCAGTGACGAAGGTTCCATCCCACGAGGATCCTCTGAGAGCATCTGGCTGCAGCTCAACTCTCCCAGCTCCTTTCCACCTGGCTCCACGTGGGGTGAAGAGGTCCCAGCAGCAGGAATCAGCTTGGTCCGTCCTTTGGTAGGGGCAAATGCGTGGGGTCTGCCTTAGTCCTGTGCATGGAGCAAACCCTCAGCCTATGGTGCCAACCGAGACATCATGGGTCTTTCCTCTGCTGCAGGGTTTGGTTATAAGGTGGAGGGTGTACAGAATGGGATGTAGGCTTTGGTGGAGGTGGTGGAGGGTTTTTGTGACGCTCTTGTAGGGTTCTGTGGTGCTTGTGTAGGGCTTGGTGATGGTGATGTAGGGTTTTGTGATGCTTGTGTAGGGTTTACTAGTGCTTGTGTAGGGTTTGGTGGAGTTGATACGCAGTTTGGTGGAGGTGGTGTAGGGCTTGGTGGTGGTGTAGGTGAAGCCTGGTGCTCCTGTAAGATCTGATGGTACTGGTGGTCCTGGCAGTGTTTTGGATCTCTGGATGCCCAGCACATAACACAGGCAGCTGTGTCCTCATGCACATTGCAGTGGCTGAGGTGCCATCAGCCCCTCATTGGGTGCCCAAGGGCTCGGACCTCAGGCTCTGAAGTTCTTAATGTCAAAGCTTCAGGCATCAGCATGGCCTGATGCCAGATGGGACTGGCTCCATTCCCACCTGTACACCAGCCTGAAGGCACCTCTCCACCTCACCATATATCTCCAGGCAGAGACACCCATCCAACACCATCCCACCCATCCTGCGAGCTTTGGGGACGAAAACACACGTGTCCCGCCTTCTTGGCACTGGGGATCCAGCTGTGGGGCTCAGTGCAGAAAGCCTCACACAGGGTGGGGGCCCACCTATATAAACAAGGCCAGGAAGGCTCCCAGCCATTCCCACTCCTTGCTCCCCTTTGGATCTGAGCAGCCATCCTCCGCCGATGCTCCCACCCCTGGCTCTGCTGGGCAAGGTACCGTACCGCTCCTCCGGGCATCTCTGTCTCTCATTTCTCTTTTCTGCACGTAGATATGACTGCTTAAATATCTCTGTGTATAATTACCTAAGTGTCCATTGAAATATTTACTGGTGATACTGGTGCAACAGTAAATCTTGGTTGGGTGAGTAGAAACCTGCAGCAGTCGTGCCGGTACCCAGCTAGAAGGCTGGGAAATCTCATAGTAGTACCGTTTCCTTTTCACTTTGCTTTCAGTTTTCTCTGTTATGTAAGAACAGCACATCCAACCTGTTTATTTCCACATTTATCATGTGTTAGACTCACGCTCTGTTCCCTTTCAGCTGTGTTTAAATCTTATTAGTACTGGTCATCAGGTCGCATCCAGATGGGTCGCATTCCCACACGGAGTGGTGGGGGACATCCTCATGCAGAATTCATGTCTTTTCTGTGTTGTAAATACTTGCACTTGGCAAACTGCAGTTATTTTTGGAGTGGTGAAGAAACCTTTATATCTTTGTACCCAGTTCTCATTGCTGCCACTTTCTGGCGGGGACATAGGGCTGCACTAATCCACATGGACCAAGTTAAATCCTGGTGGGAGAACTGTCCTGAGAGCTGCTACATGTAGTGCGGGACTTTGGTCACAGTGACACTTGTCCCCATCCTGTGTCTGACAGGAGAGGTATGTGCTGTGAAGGTGACACCATCATTTTTCTGACTGGGGCTGCTAAATAATAGTCAGACTCTCAGAGTCAGCGATCCACCACACACAAATGAAATAAAGTATTTTCAGTGTCTGCAGGATGAGGTGAGCGTTCTGCCCTTGCTTTGGGACTTTGTCTTTATCTCCAACCTCCGAGATGTCCATAAATGCTGAGTTGCAGTTCCCAGCCTGGTTGGGTTCATCCTGCAGGACGCTGCACGAACCTCTGCTCTTTGCTCCTCTTGTTCCTCCTCCTTTTTCCTGGGGCTCTTCCAGGCTCCCCTCTAACAGCAGCCTGTGGACAGGTGCTGGGAGAAAAACAGCTCCCTGGAACAGCCCAAAATGGGGCCGTTTTTGATGCCGCTTGAATTTTTGCAGAGTTCCCTCATCTTTCCCATGCACCCTGGCCTTTCTCCTCTCCATGCATCTCTGCTCAGTGAAGCGCTAAAGGAGGAGCTGAGGGCGATGAGGGGTGGAGGTGAACTGTTGCACGGCCACTCATTGCCTGGGGATCCGCTTCCTCCGGTTTCTTTTGATTTTTTGGGGATTTTTTTTGCACGTTCAGGAAGGTCTCCAGCAAGTCAAGCCTGGCTGGATTCATAGTGCTGCACCGGCAGCCAGCAGTGCTGGGAATGCCGGCTGGGAGCTTTATTGCTTCCTGTTATGAGGGTTCAGGAGATGCTCTGGGTTGGTGGGAGAGACGTGGTCCAGCACGAGCGCCAGGTTTGGCCCCAGCACATGGGGTGGGGTTGGAAATGTGGGGTTTTTTTTCCTCTTTGCTTCTCCGGCTGCTTCAGGAAAGGGAAGCAAATAAAGGGAATAATTGCTCGCTTTGGCCTTTGCAGAGACCTCTGGCTGTTGAAGCAGATCTCTGCCTTGGGTCTGCTTGCTTTGGAGCGAGAACAGACGGAGAGAAGAATGCTATGAAGGGCAGTGTCCCCATCACGGGTCTTTTCTTGTCACCTCTTTGCATGTCAGCCTTGAAAACGTCAGAAAAAAAAAGGTTCCATCATAAAAAAAAAAGGGGATTTTGTCAACATCGAAATTTATCTCAGGAATGCGTCCAGTGCAGCGAAAATTTCAGTCGGGAAGGGCTGGAATAAATATCTTCTGTGCTCCAGCCCGAGCTTAAATGCTTCCTCTGGGCTTTTGTGCTTTGTGATTTAAATCTTATTGTTATTTCCCTTTATTGGATTTTTCTTGTCATTTTCAAAGAGAAGTGCTTTTACCTTTCCGCAGTTATGATTCAGTGAAATCCCAGGGAAACATTGCACTGTTTTTCAGCAGGAACATTCTTCATCCTGCTAACATCTGGCTTTTTCCTCTGATCACCAACCAAAGCAAATTTAATAGAAATTCTGTTTTCTGACTTATCTTCAATGCCAAACCGTGCTCCACATTCAGTGGTGATTGGGAGCTTGAATTGATTTTTGCAGAGCGTGTTGAAGAAATCGGCCTTCACCTTGTTTTCAGGCATCCTCTTGTCACACAGCCAAAAATCCTTATGGGCTCTTTTTCTCAGTTTGGTCCTTGCAAGGGGCAGAGACCCACCGCCGTGTTGTCATCCAGGTTAAAGCTTTGAAGAGATTGTAGAATCGTAGTGTTGTTAAGGTCCAACCATCAGCCCAGCCCCTCCAGGCCCGCTCATAGAATCACTAAGGTTGGAAAAGATCTTGGAGATCACAACGCCCAACCGTCCCTGCTCACAGAATCACTGGGGTTGGAAGAGACCCCTAAGATCACCGGGTCCTGCCGTCATCCCGTCACCACCTGGGCCACCAAATGGATGCAGAGCAGAGAGCACAGACGAATGGACCCGATGCTGATGGGGTGACGTGCCGTATCCGCACCAGGGCCGTCACCACCACTCTTCTGAGAAGCCCACACAGAGTTCTGTGATGGAGCAGATCTGAACATGGGCGTGATTCACCCTGATTGTACGTTTTTACTGTGAGACTGTTGAGGTTTTGGCTGCGTCCTTACGATGTGAGCCCTGATTAGTCCAACATCTTGGACAACACCCGAAGCATCCTGGTCTAGAGTGAAATGTCCCTGCCTGTGTCAGAGGTTGGAATTGGTCCCAACCCAAACCATTCTGTGATTCTACAGCAAAAATGAGCCCTTTATGGGCTCTTTTGTAGCCCACTTTGTATGCGAAATAGGGCGTAAATGGCAAAGTCAGAGCTATTAATCACTAGTGCTGCAAAACAAGAGTACAAATTCTCTGATTCCTGTGACTAAGGACAAGACTGTGATCTTCTAGAGGTGGTGTTTGAGGAAACACCAATTTCACAGCCCTGGGAAGGGGACAGGTGAGAACCCACAACCTGGGCTGGATGTAAGTCAAGTGGCAGGCATGGGGCAGTCCTCCTCGTCTTCCTCCTCTTCATCTTCCTCCTCCTCCTCCACACCCAGCAGTGCCCGCCCAGGACCAGCAGAAGACAATGCAGATAACGGCAGGAGGAAGGGAAGCGGAGCGCAGGAGGAAGCGCTGACACGGAGGCTGCCCTTCCCTGAAGCACATGTTTACATCTGACAAAGATCTGTGCTGAACGCTGTTTCTGGAACAGCTCTGCTGGAGGCGTGGGGCTGCAAAGAGCAGCACAACAAACCAGAAGCACTAATGAAATCAAAACCTGTCTCTTTTTCCCTTTTTTCTTTCTTTTTTTCTTCTTTTCCCCATTTAGCTCTTATGTTTCGAAGCGTCGCTTCTGCTCACAAAGCCAAGAGCTGAGCCTGTCTCTCTGAGGCTCTCACCGTCGCTCGCTGTGAGCCGTGGGCTGCAGATCCCTTTTTCTCTCTAGGTTCTGTAAAATAAGTCTCCATACTCATGTGATGCTGCTTCATGGGTCTTCTTTTTTAATAAGCAAGCTCGGTATTTGAATGCATTTCTTCACTTTGTGTAGTTTTGAAACAAATCAAATGGAAACCCAGAAGGTGAAAATTAGAGAAGAAACTGAACTCAGTGTCATGCATTACAGAGCTGTGTCAGTCTGGGGCCAGACTGGATACGTATGTTTGCTACTCATCACTTAGCAGGAAGATGTAACACCAGATAGAACCATAATTAATGACTGCAGTTATTCATTTCAATGGGAAGCCAAGAGAAACACGTCAGGAATACCAGTGGTGTCAGCTGGGTGAGGTGACCCCCAGCAGCCAGAAGTGTCCAGGCTTTTGTCACATCCATCCCCCTTTGTTTCCTGTTCTCAATGCCAAGCACTAACTGAAGCCCAGGGTACTGGATGCTGCACAGGGAGTGAAAAGGTTCCTATTGCTCTTTTAGGCCATAACATTTATTTATGGCTACAAAATCTCTGTTTGTTCTCCAGTGTCTGCCTTGGAAGGAAGAAAACACAGGCTGTGTATGAGCGTGCATACCCCTGCTGTTCTGTTATTACCCTGGATACACGCAGCCAAGGTTTTGGCCCTTGCATAACCTGCTCAAATGGTAAAAAACCAATGAAAGCAGGCAGGAGGAAACGCTCAGCCTTCCCCAGGCGATGGGTTGGGTTCATGTGATGGGAACCACGCAGTCCCCAGAGCCTGGAGCAAGAGAAGATGATGGCCAGCTTGTTTGCAGCATGGATGCTCCAAGAAGACGTCCACCAGAAGAGATTACTGTGTGTATAAATAACCTTGCAAAGAGTCTGAAGAGCCTGTGTGACCCGTGGGACTGGAACTGCGCTGAGCTGCCTTTTATCTCAAAGCCGCTGCCTGCTCTCCTGCGGAGTCTGGAAGTTATTTTTAAGTAACTAATAATCCTGCTCCACAGCTCCATCCTGCACCAGCTGGAGCTGCTGGAGGTCTCACCCCAGCCTGTGGTGGGAAGGAGATGCTGGCGGCCATCCCTCGGGTCTGGTGGGTCTCACGGTCCTGTAAAGGCGGGTGTGAAATGTGTTGGGAGTGGGATGGCAGAATGGAGGTGACGGCCAGGTGAAACCCTGTGCTGCCCCGGATGTGAGGGATCGTGCAGGGGTGAGTATTTTATCCTTCTTGGTCTGGTCTCGATGGGAGATGTCCAGGAATTTTGGGAGGAGACCCAGCAGATCCGGCGGTCTCTGGAACCAGCTCCATATCCCCCAGCTCCTTTGGCAGTGCAAGCTTTGTGGGTGTGCTGAGCTCTGAAGCATGCAGGCAGGATCGTTTTGCCCAGGACGGTTGTGGACGCCCCATCCCCGCATCCCCGGAGGCATTCAAAGCCAGGCTGGATTGTGGCTCTGGGCAGCCTGGTCTGGTGGCTGGTGATCCTTCCTATGGCAGGAAGGTTGAAACTAGATGATCTTTGAGGTCCTTTTCAACCCAGGCTGTTTAGAAGCTTATTTCCCCCCAGTTCCCTCCCCAGACCTGTTCTGAGTGTGACAGCCACCCCTCAAGGGCATCTTCACCTCTACTTCCGACTTCCCTGAATACGAGGCTCTTTCCACCTACCTATCAGAGATAGCTGCTTCTGAACAATGAATTAGCTCATCATTGCACAAGGGTAATTAGTTTGTAATTTAAAGTTACCACAATACACCTAGATCTGTGGACACAGTGGTTTGGCTGAAGTGCTCCACCAACATGGAGAGGTGCAGAAGATGCTTAGTGGGCGTAGTGTGATGGGTTGCTTGTTGGACTCAGTGATCTTTTAGGTCTTTATGATTCTGTGCTGCTGCTGCTGCTTGCCTGAGACGCTCCAGTGAGCAGGAATTGCCACCCCACATCCCACTGGGCTCTTTGGAATACCCAGCTTAGTCAGAACCCTCTTGGGACAAAGATTGCTGGTAAATCGTATGTCCCCTTTAATCAAAATGTGCTCCTCCCATGTTTTTACCCCTCAAAGGCTGGGTCTGATCCTTTCTGCTGTTTTCCTCTCCTGGGGAGGTTTTCTGCCTCAGCTCCCCACTTTGACCCCGCAGCTACCTGGAGCCCTGACCCCGCTGGTGACAATAAGGGTCCCTGTGGATGGAGCAGGGCTGAGAGATGCCCCCAGGAGACAGGGGCTCTTCTCCACTTGCCTCAGGCTTCACGCACATTCCCACACTTACTAATTCTTTTTCCTTCCACAAAGAGACCAGAAAGCCCTAAAATGTACCCAAAAACCCTTTTCCAGCTGTCCCTATCCATGAACAGGGGAAGCAGCGAGGCAGGACCTTCAGATCACTTCTCACTACAGAGCCTTGCCTCTTTTTCTTTTTTTCCCCCTGCTCTCTACCCAAGGAGCTTTTGCCAAAATGCGTTTTCCACATGTTCCCTATTAGTCATGCTCTCTGTCTTACAAATCTGTTACCAGCACCGCTAGCCGATGCTATTAATTTACTTCCAGTCCGCTCAAGAGCTCGGCAGCAAAATTCCAGGCACCGTTCCTAAAACCAGAGCCGGCGGTCTGTTTGGATTTAAAAACCGATGCCTCCTTCCTGCCCGGTATATATAGCACCTTCTCCCAAAGCTTGGGGACACCCGGCGAGGAGAGGGGCTGGGGTGGGAGCTGGGCTGCCCCAGAGGCGGGGTCTGCAGAGCCTTAAATCCTGCCCCAGGGCTCGGCGTCCCAGCGGAGCATGGCGTGAGCACGGCGGGACTTTATCTAGGGCAAGGCGCAGGAATGCTGGTGGAGGAGGGCAAGCAGCACCATGTCTCCGTGAGTACATTTTCCATTGTTTTGCCTTTGGTTTAAACAACTGGGTGGGAAGCGAGTAGAAAGGAAGGACGTCAAGCTAGCTAGATCTATATGCTTTTTTCCTATTTTTCTTTTTTTTCTTCTCGTTCTGCTTCTTTTACACCCAAGTTTTAAAGTTTTTTCCCAGTTCCAACAGCTGCATCTGCAATTGCACAGAGGGGATTTTGGTGGTGAGAAAGTGGAATCAAGAGCTAATTGCTGGCTCCGTGGGATTTCCACTATTTTAAGGCTGAGCCAAAGGCACTCGAATCGCCGCTGTCGCATTGAGAGATCCCAACTTCTATTTGTGGCTGTCTGGAAGTGAAACGTGTGCCCGGTGCCAGTCAGCCTGATGTGTGCAGCTGGAATGAATGGGTTCCAAGCTGCAGGGACGCTGGGTCCCCCCTGGGATCTCTCTGCACGTAACTGAGCCCCACAAACCCCCCTCACCCCATCCATTCCGTGCTGGAGCCCCACGCGGTCCTTGCCCCAGCGGGCTGATCAGAGGAGGATTCTTCCCTTGTCTCCTTCAGCTGCTGTTGTGTGTCTGGGTACGGGGGAGCACAGCGCGGTCACTGAGGTGCAGTCATGCCCAGAGGCACAGCAGGGTCCCAGCAGTTCAGGAGCAGCTGGGGGCTGTTTCCTGCACGTGTTGCTGCCGTCCAGATGTGCACAGCAGGCTGAGCACAGGCTGTGGCTGGTAGTTGGTATTCGCAGATCGTGTTCGCCAAGCAGTGGCCTTCTGGTTGTTCTGTTAGTTTGTGATTTCTCTCCCTGATGCTGGGGGATTGTGAAGGGTTTAAGCCGATGTTGCCAGGTGCTCCAGTCTGAAATGTGCTTCCTGGAGGAAGAAAGTGTGTGCTTTGCTAACGAACGTTAGGTCAGAACTTGAATATTTCCTCCAAAATCCATCGTTGGCTTTGTCAAGTCCTCAGTGCCCCAGCAAACTGCTATTGGGAGGTAACTGACCTGTGGGAACTGTGTCCAGGAATCACAGAATCAGAATTTGGGTTGGAAAGGACCTTAAAGCCCGTCCAGTGCCAGCCCCTGCCGTGAGCAAGAACACCTCACACCAGGCCAGGTTACCAAAACCCCATCCCACCTTGCCTTGAGTGCCTCCAGAGGGACATCCACAGCTCCTCTGGGCAGCACTGCCAGTGCCTCACCACCCTCATTGTGAAGGACTTTTTCCTGCTGTCTAACCTAAACTTACCATCTTTAGTTTAAAGCCATTATCTCCTGTCCTGTCACTACGTTCCCTGACAAAGAATAAGCTTAATGTGGAGCTTGCAGCTGACTGGGGATGCTGATGGGTGGCACAGAGACCACCAGGCTGGGTCCACTACCCAAGCCCCAGCCCTGCCCTGGCTGCACCGATGCTCCAGGGATGGATGTGCCATGTCCCACAGTGGGCAATCAGCCCCCCAGTGCCTCCTCTTGCCACCCCTACCTGCTGAGTCTTGGCCGAGGCCCGGCGTGAATCCTGCAAGTCAGGCAATGCCCCATTCTGCTCATGACTGAATAGGCACGCAGAGCAAAGGAAGGTTTGCTCTGCTTTGAAGGGGGACTACTGAGTCTGAAAGAAGCCAAAGGCATTCACAAGGGGTGATGTCCCATCCCTGAATTAATAGTCATAGAATCACAGAATTGTTTGAGTTGGAAGAGATCCTTAAAGGCCATCTGGTCCAGCTCCCCTGCACTGAACTGGGAAACCCACAGCTCCACCAGGTGCTCAGAGCCCCGTCCCCTGACCTTGGGTGTCTCCAGCGATGGGTCACCCACCACCTCTGTGCACGACCTGTGCCAGTGCTCCGCCACCCTTACTGTAAAAAATCTTCATCCTTCTATCCAGTCTAAAATTAAAAAATGCAATGCTAAGCCAGAGTTCTCCAATAAATAAAGAATAGCGCTGTGGGGATCACTTTCCACATTATTCTGTGGTTGAACCACTGTGTCTGCAGCAGTATTTCTTTACTGACTGTTGGGTACAAGGCATCGTTTCTGAGGCAGGAGATGGGGATTCTGGTTCCTGTAGCATGGAGAACTTCAGCAGGTAACTTGAGGGGAGAGAGGAGACCTTCTCACCTCTTCTCCCAGCTGGGGCGTGCTGCTTCCTTACTCCTTGCCTCAGTTTCCCCAGCTGCAGGACAGGAACATTCCTCAGCACCATCTGCAGAGTGCTCCCACAGTCCCCCTCTGGTGTGTGAAGACTCGGAAGTTTGGGTTCGCAGAGGATTTGTTTGATCTAGAAATAGCAGGGTTAGAAAATTCCATCTGCTGGCTCTCGGGAGCCCTCGACAGTGGAAGAATTTTGCTGCATCTTGAGCCTTGGGCCGCATCATTACTTCCCAGAGCTGCAGCGAGGCGGGTGCTGAGCAAACCAGAGCTGCTTGGCGCCCGTCCTAAGAAGCAGCAGGAACAAAATGACATTCCAGGAAAGCAAAATGTGGAGAACAGAGCAAATCATCTTGCATTTCTTGCTCCTTTGCTGTTGCTCGTGGTTGTTCACACTCCAGGCCCAATCCACAGGGTCAAAGCCTCCAGTGCAAACCTTGGGGTGTGATTTGGTGTCTCCATGTAAAAGTGCTGCAAAGCTGAGCCAGGACCGGACTCGTGTCTTGTGGCATGATTCGTCCTCCTTGACTTTTACCTCTGTAAATGAAAGGGCTGTGGGGCAGCACAGGGATTTGGTTAGGCTTGCTGTAGGTTGGGCTCTCAATGAAGGTTACGAGCCTGGTGCAGAGGAGGGATGCAGGTTTGCAGAAAGGATGAGCCCATTCTCTGCTGCTCGAGGGTGAGGGGCCGTCGTCCCCCAGCATGATGCCCTTCGTGTCCGGGTGCTTTCCCCATCGCTCTCACCCATAGGTGTCTGCCAGCCCAGCTGTACAATTACCACCTGTCTTTAATGATGCCTGGAGGGCTGAGGCGCTCCAATGATGCCAGGGAGCTCAGGGTGAGACCCCACTGCAAGGCAAGCTGAACACAAGATGGTTCCACTTCCTCTCCAGCTGTCCAGGTCTTCTAATAAATGCATGGTTTTCTCTGAAAGCTTTGGAAGGTTTATTTATAAAAGAGTCTGCATTTGATTTAAGCATTTGTTTTTCAAGAGGGACTTAAAAGGGACGTCAGTCTGTAAATATAAATATTCCCATTCTTTTTTTGATTCTTTGCATTTTTCTAGGTTCACTAATGAAAGACATTTCAGCATCCCCTGCTCCCGCATTCAGCCCGGATGCCTGAGCCCACGGCATGTGAGCAAGCAGCTATCACAAGTTGAGCACCCTTCTGTGTGCCTAGGTGGCTGCCATGTTGTATTGTATTCATTATCAGTTACCCAAGGACTTCCCATCCTGAAACAGGGCAACAAAATGTGTTGATGGGATGTTAACTTACAGCTGTGTGGGGTTTTTTTTCCCCTTCTTCCTGCAGGTTATAACTGAGTAGCCCTTATGACCAACATGAGCTGGAGCTTTCTCACCCGCCTGCTAGAAGAGATCCACAACCACTCCACCTTCGTGGGGAAGGTCTGGCTCACCGTGCTCATCGTCTTCCGCATCGTCCTGACGGCGGTCGGTGGAGAATCCATCTACTCTGATGAGCAAAGCAAGTTCACTTGCAACACCAAGCAGCCCGGCTGCGACAACGTCTGTTACGATGCCTTCGCCCCGCTGTCTCACGTTCGGTTTTGGGTCTTCCAGATCATCATGATATCCACACCTTCAGTCATGTACCTGGGCTACGCCATCCACCGGATCGCCCGGTCAGCGGAGGAGGAGAAGAAGTTCAAGGGCTTCAAGAAGAAGAAGCAGTTTGCTTTGAACTGGCAGGCGGTGCGCAACATGGAGGACGCGATGGAGGCGGATGAAGAGGAGCCCATGATCTCCGACGACGCAGCAGAAAATGAGAAAGCCAAAGCCAAGCCCAAGAGCAAAGAGCAGCAAAAGCACGATGGGAGGAGGCGAATCCAGCAGGAAGGACTGATGAAAATCTACGTCTTCCAGCTGCTTACCAGAGCTTCGTTTGAAGTTTGTTTTTTGATAGGGCAGTATTTGCTCTACGGTTTTGAGGTAGAAGCTTATTTTGTCTGCAACAGACTGCCTTGTCCTCACACGGTGGACTGCTTTGTGTCCCGGCCAACTGAGAAGACAATCTTTTTGCTGGTGATGTACGTGGTGAGCTGCCTGTGCTTGCTGCTGAACATGTGTGAGATGTTCCATCTGGGCTTCGGGACCATCCGAGATGCCATCCGCAACCGGAAAATCAACAGCTTCAGGCAGCCCCCCTACAACTACGCCTACCCCAAGAACATCTCCTGCCCCCCCGAGTACAACCTGGTGGTGAAATCGGAGAAGTCCACCAAGATCCCCAACAGCCTGATGGCTCACGAGCAGAACCTGGCTAACGTTGCGCAGGAGCAGCAGTGCACCAGCCCGGATGAGAACATCCCAGCGGACTTGTCCACCCTCCACAAACACCTGCGAGTGGCCCAGGAGCAGCTGGACATAGCGTTTCAGAGCTATGGCAGCAGCCAGGGCAACGCGCAGCCCTCCCGGACCAGCAGCCCTGCCTCAGGTGGCACGGTGGTAGAACAAAATAGGGCCAACACGGCCCAGGAGAAGCAAAGCGCTAAGCCCAAGGCGTCCTTGGAGAAAGGCAGCTCCAGCAGTAAGGATGGAAAGACGTCTGTGTGGATATAGCCTGTCTGCCAGCAGAGAGGGCAGCGTATGTGGGGTTTTATTTGGGGTTCTGTTTTGCAGTATGTCTCGAGTTTATTTCACAGGGCACAGATACATTTTTTCTGTGGAAGTCAAGAGAGAAAAGGAATTTCAGACCAATTTAGTACTGTCTTCCGGTGCATTAACAAAAGACATTTCCTTCCTCTTTCCAACACATCCTCCAGCCGGGAACCTCCAGTGAGTGACAGCGACCGCTGCATCCCGCCGAGGCTGGACAGCCTGCTGTGATGGAAGCAGGGAGCAGCTCCCACACACAGTGCTGCAGTCAGACGGCCTTTAATTACTAAATATCCTTCATCAAAATTAATTTCCGATCCCTTGATTAGAAAGGAAAGTGACTGATACGTCGACGAACTTTCACGGCACGCTCCCAGCTAACGTCTCACCGGAATTTTTCAGTGCACAGCAGGCAGCACTGGAAGCGAAGGCAGCAGAGGTGCATGCATAGCACAGCACTGATGGATTTCATCTTTCATTCTGCGCTGAAACAAAAAGCAAACACGGCCAAACACTCCGCAGTGTGAGTTGGCAGTGACACTGCTGCTCGTACGGGTGCCTGCGTAGCGCTTGCTACAGATGGAATCACTGCAGTTACAGTGTTTTTAACAAACTGCTGCTTCACATCATCAGAAAGTGCCTTTTTGCAACCAGGAAAACAAAGTCATAAAGGGTGTCGACTTCTTCACGTGCTAAATTTGAGTAAAGATGGGAAGATCAGTGTTGGCAGGTTTGTTTTTCTGTTTAATCGAACTGTTACACACAGTGGCAGACAGCAGACCTATGCATAGCGCGTATACGATGCGTGTGTGTGCACATGTCAGCATATATATGGACACATGAACATGTGTGTGTGCATATAGATACATAGATATATATATATAAATGTGATATCAACCCTCTGGTAATTTTACAGCCTTCCACTTTCCCTGGGAAATCTTGTTGGATCCAGGAGTGTCAGTGGGAAACGGGCAGGTTTCCATACACTTGTTAAGGGGCTCAGCAGAAGACCTGGTGGACAGGACCCAGGGCAGCAGCAAGAAGTTTGCCTCTGTTTTATGGAGAGATTTTGTTGCCTTTGCTTGGTTTTAAGGCAGTCTCCTTGCAGTTGCAGGAGCTCCAAGGCTCCTGCTGGTGCTGGATGTGCTTTGGTGGGTGGTTTCATCCTGGAGCTGAGGCGTTCTTGAGATGCCTGTGGCGATTCACCACCATGGAGGCAAAGTAGGCAGAGCCTTCCAGATCAAACTTTACAAGGAAGAATTAAATCCTTACAGAATACAGCATCATTCCTGTGCTGAGCTGCTCCCTTACAGCCATGCCAGCATACAAGCCCTCATGCCACTATTCCTTTCATGTTACTTCTTGATGGGCTCTTACTCATGACCCTGAGATCAGTCTCTTAAGCCTTGAGGGCATCTGCTCTCCCCAGCCAGCAAGAAAGCTGTGCAATGCCCATGGAGAACAGTGCTGGTAGCAAACAGTAGGTTTTAAAAGGTGCAAAGAAATGTTCTCTGAGGTATCCAACTGCAAATATTCGATATGGCTTTGAGTAACAGTCTGGAGACAGCTCCAGGCTTGTTCCTGATCCTGCAGGAGGCACTGCCTGGAGCGCTGCCTGCTCTTGCTGCTGGAGTTGTTCTCTTTGGATACAGGCAGCTGCATCCCACAGGAGGCTCAGCGCATCGTGCAGCAGCACTGGTCTGCAGCAGCACACACACATCGCGTGCAGGGATGTTTTGTAATGTGAATTTTCCATCAGAGGCTCAGAAAGTTCACAGCACAGTGGTAGGACAAACATATCTGCCCGCGCTGCTCCTTGGCCTACATATGGGCACCCACCCACTCGGGCAACGCAGAGAGACTGGGTGCTGCTGGCAGTGCTGTCGTGAAGGTACAGACAGCCCAGGGCTTATTCCCCTGAAGATTTGGGGTGTTTGAAGACTGTCTTATCTCCGTTAGCTCTGCTGTAAGCCAAGCAACCCTACTTTCACCAGCCTGTCATTTCCGTGCCATGGATCCGGCACGCCAAGAGGGATGATCAGGCAGTCCTGCAGCAGATTTGCAGCCTCCTCCAGGCTGGTGTCACCAGCACATTTAATACGCACACGCTGTTTTCCATAGTGGGAGTCAATAATTGCAGTATTGATGAGCACTAGAGCCGGGGCAGACACTTGGGTGTTCGATACCAGCTCCTCATCAGGCAGGGTAACTGCTCACTCTGCCGTCCTCCCAGCCAGCCCTGCTCATCTGTAGGGCTTGAAAACTTCCTTGTATAAAATGCTTTGCAAATGAGGGCTGATCTCACTTTCCCTTTTTTTTTTATTCTTCTTTTTCCAAGCTTTTTGACAGGGACTGAAGCAAAAGGGCACGCTGGTGGCAGGACTGCTTAATGCCAGGATCTTGTGGTGGGCTGCCAAGCTCCCATACGCTCCTCCATACCAAGAAGGAGCCGCCCCTGTTCCTCCAGCCACCAGTATGAGTCAGATAGCCCTATAAATATGGAGGCTTATTATTATAATTAGATATACCGAATTGCTCACTTCCCCCTTTCCTCCACTGCTTGCCCTCTGGAGCTCTTAGGATGTTGTGTGCTCCACTGAGTCACCTCCACCACCAAGGCACCGACGTCTCCGCAGCAGTGACCCCTTCCAGAGCAGGAAGGGAAATCCCATATTTACTGTGTCTGTTAGGGCAGGAAAAGGATAGGAAGGCAAAATATGTGTAACCACAAGCAAAAGCCCCGCCACAAACCAAACCGGCGGCTTGAGGAATTTCAAGCAGACGACGGGCAGCATCGGCCATGGAAGAAATGCCAGTATTACAACTAATGCTTTGCTTTCTTTTCTGCAGGTTAGTCATTTAGTTCACGCTCCAGACGGGTTTAGCTCTGTAGCTGAACTAAGCATAAATGTTGATTCCCTCACTAAGCTTTGCTGGATAAAGTGCCCGCCCTTGCGTTTCTGTTCTTACCATTCAGGGCCAGGAATGTCCCACGTAAAAGCCAGATTACCTTGTTGCTTGCATTGCATTCCACTGGAAAATACTTGAACTTAACTCAAGGCCATAACCAGTCTGTGCTGTTATGAAGTTTCTGGGATATTTTTTTTGTTCGTTTTTTATGTACTAACTGTATTTGTACTAGAAAATTTTTGAGTATGAGGTTGAATCTCTCTAAGTATTTCTCAGTGTAAATGTTCCATCTGGACTGTAGTTAGGTTAAGCATTGGTCAAAAGAGAATGAAACATTAGCCCCACTCTTCAACCGGCTATTCCACGTCCATTACTAATAAAACAGAATAAAACTTACATTTTGTTACAGAATGCAAAGTGTGTGATGTTTCCGTGAGAAGGAAGACGAGTGTTGATGAGAAGAAATTCTTCCCCATCTATTGTTTGCCTGCTTTAGCCATATAAGACCTCTATTTTCCCACATACAGCTATAAATCACTGCAAAATATTTTTGCCTTAAGAAGTAGTTGACCTTCTGGTTGTTTGGGATGTGTTGTCTCTCTGATGAATCACTGCCTGCAGTTCCTTCAGGCATGGAGCTGAAGCTGCCTAGGAAAGCCTGTGCTCTGAAAAGTGAAAAAACTTTGCTGAGTCCGGGAGAAGTTACGGCTGCAGCAGAGTAAATGATGGGAGAAGCCTTTGAGAAGACCTGCCCTGCAAGAGAATCACAAAAAAACAGGATCATTCAGGTTGGAAAACACCTCTGAGATCCCCAAGTCCAACAGCAACCCATCCCCACCACTCCCACGACCCCTGTTCCCCAGTGCCACATCTCCACGGTTCTTAACAGCTCGGTTTTCTTAAACATCTCAGTTCCTGCTCCTGCCATGAACCCACATTAGGTACATTCACTCACCACCACTGTCCAAAGAGGCTTCTGCAAGCCTCTGGGTGCATTTCTCTCCATTCCTCTGGCAGTTGCAGTATCTCCAGGATTCCATTGGCTCCTACCGAGAGGCAGAGAATAAGGGACTCTGCTGGGAGTCCATGGTGAAGGTGGACAGCCAGGAGCGCCTCAGTGCTACAGAAACCAAATAAAAAAAAAATTGCTAATTAACAAGGTGTCCTTAAACGAGCAAGTTCTGGGAAATACAAGGAATTCATCCTTGCTGTTGGGTGCTGGGGTGATGTCAAAGTGAAGCATGCTTTGGTGACTGAACTTAGTGCGGTGCTGCTGTGGCACTGACCTCTGCGTCCCACGTGGAGTTGTCAGGGGAGGGTCTGGTGGGGATGAGAGAAAGGTTCTTCCCGTGGAAGAGGCTGCCCAGGGCAGTGGAGCATTTAAGGCACAGGGCCTTGGGGTTGGACTTGGGGATCTCAGAGGTCTTTTCCAACCTGAATGATTCTAGGTCCTCTTTGGGACAGGGCTTGGTCGGGAGCATTGCATTTTGTCACCCTGCCACCAACGCTCCAATGAGAGCCTTAAGTGCAGAGGAACGATGCCTTTTCCCCCTCTGCTCCACTCAGACCCCAGCTGCAGTGCTGCGATGGACTCAGGGGCATGCAGGATTAAAACAAAGGCTTCCTGTTTCTTTTCCATTTTTTTCCTCTTGCCACTCCCACCAGCAGCCCCCACCCGCCTGACGCACGGACCCTCACCGCTCCGCTGTGGGGGCGCGGCCAGCCAGAAGGGGCGTGGCCAGGCAGAGGAGGGCGCGCCCCGCTCCCCAGCGCTCCTCCCCGCCGCGAGGTGGCGCCGACACACACAAGATGGCGGCAGAGGCGGCAGGAGCTGACGGGCGCCCCTGACAACCAGCCGCCATGTTGGTGAGGGCGGCGGCCGGCCTGCCCGGGCTGCGGCGGCTGTGGGGGCGCGGTGGGAGCGGGGACGGCGCCTGGCGTTGTTTCCCGCTGGGCCGGGCGCTGCTGAGCGTGCGTGGCGCCGAGGCGGCCGTTTTCCTGCAGGGGCTGCTCACCAACGACGTCACGCGGTTGGTGGCGGTGAGGGAGGGCCCCGCGGGGCCGCCGCGCGCGCTGTACGCGCATGCGCTCAACGTGCAGGGCCGCTGCCTGTACGACCTCCTCGTGTACAGGTGAGAGCGGGGGGAGGAGCTGGGCGAGAGCATTGCCGGGCCGGGGGCGGAGGGGCAGGCCGTAATTCCACCTTACTGCCACCGGGCGGGCCTTGGGATCTCAGTGCGCTTACCCAACCTGTAAGGGGCTGTGAGTGTTGTGATACAGGGTGCCGAGCGCTGCCCCTGGCATTTGCCGGATTCAGACCAGGGTTGAGTTAATAGAGCCTGTTTGAAGCGCAGAATCGTTTGAGTTGGAAGGGATTTGAGTTGGATCTCTAAAGGCCATCGGGTCCCAGGCACCCACAGCTCCATCAGTGCTCACAGCCCCGTCCCCTGACCGTGGGTGCCTGCAGGGATGGGGCGCCACCGCCTCTCTGGGCAGCCTGTGCTGGTTCTTCAGCACTCTTATTATGAAAAACCTTTCTTTGTATCCAGCTGAAGTCTCCCTCCTTTTATTGTACTTCCTCTGTTGGGGGTTTGGCTTTCCTGACTTTGTAGGTGTTGCTTTTTTAAGGCTTCACGAGAGTCAAGAAGAAGAGCCACACATCCTGCTGGAGTGTGACAGCAGCGTGCTGGACGCCGTACAGAAACATCTGAAGCTGTACAAGATCCGGAGGAAAGTCAGCATCAGCCCTTGCCTGGACCTCGCATTGTGGGCCGTCGTCCCCGGGGAGCAGGCCGGGGACATCAGCAGCTCCCTCGCACAATGTGCAGAGCGGGCTCTGGTTTTAACTCCTGACCCCAGGGCAGAAGTCATGGGCTGGAGACTGATTGTGAAGGCGGGAGCGGATCTACCAGAGGTTATCCCTGGAAGCCGTGTTGAAAGCATTCAGGATTACCACAGGCACAGGTATAAGCAAGGTAAAGCCACGTCCCGTTTGATACTCTGCTGTTGGATTTGGGATAAGTACATTTATTATTAGGATCTCATGATCAAACTGCACGCTCTGATATCAGGCAGTGGGTTAGAAAGCCACAGGGGTGTGCGTTGGTGTGTTTAACTTTGTAATAACTGCAGAAAGTTTTGCTGCTTTGAGGATGCGAGTAATCCAGTGCTCTGCCTTGTGACAGAATCAAGAACTAATCATTTGCTAAGAGAGAAACTTTAGTGGTTTGAGTCATTCTGATTATTTTGGAATGATGCACCGTTTGTGTTTTCCTTGTTACTAAGGAAAGAAAATGAAACACCGCAGTGTGCATTCCTAAAAATGTACTGCTGGATTTGCAGAGTTAACTCAGAGGCCAAGGCGTGTGTGTTTGATTTGAAAAGGAACTCAATCCTGAAGGCCTCTGCAGAGCTGCTGTTGATCTTGATGTGTCCATGCAGACAGGGGATTAAATTCATTAGCAGACTGAAAGAGGATGGTCCCCTGCTAATAAACGGTGGTCATGACCCGAGTCCATCTGGTGCAGAAAAACAAGCTGTTAATGGGTCAGAGTGGGCTGCAGTGCGGTGGTGTGCTGCCTGCCAGGAGTCCCAGCACTCCTCTGTGTGACACTGCACAAACCTGGGTCCAGCGCTGGCCACAAAAGGAGCGCTCCTAGCTTTAGCAAGGACAGCTGGCCATCTTGCATGCATGAAAATAAGTCTGACTGACATTGAAGCCTACCTGTGGGATGCAGGCGAAAACAATTTGTTTTTCCATTGACATTAAATGTTGATGTCTTTTTGTAGGAGTCTGTATTGCTCTGGGTGCTTTGCGTTTCCACCACTATGTCTGTAAAGTGCTATGAGTTTCACAAAATTAGGTTTCAGTGCAGTTTTTCCAATTACGTTTTAAAATAATCTTTGCTTACCCCCGTGTGTTTATAGCTAGTGATGTATTAACACCCAGACCAGAGTACTGGCAAGCTCATGGCTTCGCATTGCTTCTTCTCACCTCTGGCTTTGTAACACAGAGGAAGAATACTCCAGAAATCTCAAATGCCAGAGATCTTACTGTATTTCCTTTCTTTCCCTAGGAATTCCTGAAGGTGTGAAAGATCTCCCTCCCGGAGTAGCCCTTCCACTGGAATCCAACCTGGCCTACATGAACGGCGTCAGCTTTACCAAAGGCTGTTACATCGGGCAGGAGCTAACAGCCAGGACCCACCACATGGGTGTCATTCGCAAGCGTTTGGTGCCCGTGCGGTTTTCAGTTCCTCTTCCTCAGGAGAGCATTCCCGAGGGTGCTGAAATCTTGACTGAAACAGGAAAGGCAGCTGGCAAGTTCCGGGCTGGAGGAGATGAACTTGGCATAGCTTTGCTGAGGCTGGCTAATATAAATGAACCACTCTGCCTAAATGTAGCAGGTGATAAAGTGAAGCTCACTGCAAGTATACCTGAGTGGTGGCCGAAAACTGCCAGCAAATAAATGAGGAACCACCACTTGCACCTTTGCCTTATTGAGAATATATTTTGTGTGACAGGGTTGGAAAGGTGACTCAGCTGTTGTCTGTGGTGTTGATGAAGGTGTATTAGCTGAGTTCTGCAAGATGGGCTTAAACTGCAGGAGTGCCAACCAGCAGCAGGTTGCTGTTACACGTTGTGGAGACACCTTTACAAGGCAGGGGACGCAGGAGGCAGCCCCGCTTTTGTTTAGGGGATGTCAGGTGCTGCTGGGTTTGACTCCGGCTGAGTTTCACCGCTGCGTGCACTGAAATCCTCTGTTCATGGTATCCCAGCTGTGGTATGGTGTTCTTTTATTGGAGAGCATGCTGAGTTTACCTTCAGTAGGTTATATTGTTGCTATCTGAACTCAGGCTGAAGTGTTCATTGCAAAATATTTGATGCATTGAGCTTCTGATTAAACTTGCTGATTGGGTGGGTGTTGTTTCCCAGCACTCTACCTGCTAATTATGTTCGGGAAGAGGAATAGAATACCTTCTACTTCTGCTTTCGGATCTGCTTTCAATGTCACCCACGATGAGAAATGTGGGAAGACTCACAAATGTCCCCTTCCTGTGCCCTGTCTCAGAGCCAGCAGAGGGAGCACAGCCAGCAGCAACCTGCATCTGAGCTCCTCTGCCCTTGCTCACCTTGGCCATGCATGCTTCATTCACTCAGACAACTGTTTCAGAAAGGAAAGTGATATTTTACAGACATGAAGGGCTTTAGGGCGCTCCCAGCAGCGACTATTGTATTGGTGTACTGGTCCTTGGCTGAATAATCTGTTACTATGTTTATCATACAGTGTAACTGACAGGTAACCAACAACAGTTGTTGTCTTGGCATCTTAGTGATTTGTGTCTGACTGCGCAGTTACACAGGAGGAAAGATTCCTGGTGCTGTTTTAGTTACACAGTTGCAAATGAAGG